ACTAGACAAAATACTTAATGATAATCATCTTAATAATGGATCAGTTTCTTACAAACATGCAGTTTTTGTCTTCTCCAGACATTAACTGATGGACTGGAGTGGAGTGGATTACTTGTGGATTATTGTGATGTTTTAATCAGCTGTTTGGACTCTCATTCTGACGGCACCCATTCACTGCAGAGCATCCATTGCTGAGACACTGATGCAATGACACATTTCTACAAACCTGATGAAGAAACAATTAATTAAATATGCATGGCTTTTTTGAGTTCTCATGCTGATGGATTATTAAACAGACTTCCTGCAAATAGCCCTATTTTTTCACTCTCCATAAACAAAGACAGAGGAGCTCAAACAGCACAGACGATTCTCTCTCCGCTGTAAATTTCAGGTGTGTGAGGATTTGTTCAAGTGCATTCAAACATGCTCATCAAGATTACAGCTCCGCCTTCCAGAGTGATTTACAGTCGCAGTTGTTCCTGCTGTTATTGTAATGTGAGGACACATGCATGATTTACCAACATAATATCTGGAGCAGCGGTAATGAACTGGAGCTGTATATGCAGTGAGAATGTGAGTGAGATGGGATCATTAGCAGAGAGCCTCCTCATGCACTGAACAATCCATGAACAGGCAGGTATGAGACCACTTTCACATTCATGCACATCACATATGTGACCCTGGACCACAAAAGCAGTCTTAAGTCTCTGGGGTATATTTGTAGCAATAGCCAACAATACATTGTATGTATTCTTTTATGCCAAAAATCATTAGGATATTAAGTAAAGATCATGTTCCATGAAGATATTTTGTGAATTTCCTACCGTAAATATATAAAAAATTCATTTTTGATTAGTAATATGCATTGCTAAGAACTTCATGTGGACAACTTTAAAGATGATTTTCTCAATATTTAGATTTTTTTGCTCCCTCAGATTCCAGATTTTTAAATAGTTGTATTTCAACCAAATATTGTCCTATCCTAACAAGCCATACAGCAATGGTAAGCTTATTTATTCAGCTTTCAGATGATGAATAAATCTCAATTTCAGAAAATTGACACTTAAGACTGGTTTTGTGCTCCAGGGTCACATATGTTGATTCTGAGACTATAAAGTCACTAAAAAGTTTGCACTGCATGAAAACAATTTTCAATCTTTGTGTCATATAAGCACGAGTAGATATCATTGGACATTGAAAGCAAAAACTATTCATCTGTGAAAGATGAGCTCTGATTGAGCACCTTGTCTGAGAATCTTAAATTTTTGCTAAAATTTGTGTATTTGTAAGGAAAAGTGTGTGTTTTTAAGTATGTTTTATGCACCATTCTTAATCACCTTTTTAAATATTCCATGTAGCATTTCATGAAAGAAAGAGGTCATGAAAACTCCAAACACATTAAATCAATAGTAAGAGGCAAAGCTTTTCTTCCTCCTAATGTGCAAGCTTGAAAATGTCTTATTTCTTTTCTGTTGGGTTCCTGATTAGCAATTTCATGGATCCCCAAGAGAGTGGCCTTTAGCAAGGGGTTCTGCGAGTCACTCCATCAAACTCAGTAATTGGTCAGAAAATTGCCCAATTTTGTTACTATAATTGGCCAGAATTGTTTTTACATTTTAAATGTGAAAAATACAAATTAATGACCAGTGAACACATAATGCAAATATAAATAATTGAGTTTCATACATTGTTGTCTTTCATAGTTTTTAGGATAATTTCCCAAAATAGATAAATAAATAAATACAAATAAAAATGTGCTCAGAATGAAGGAGTGTTTGTATTTGCATGTAACAAAGAAGCCAAACCAGCATATAGGCTACCGGCATTAAATCTGTAATGTTAACGTGAACTCAAAATCTTACAACCTGCTCCTAGTTATTATTCATAATTCATCTGTGCACATAATTCCAAAGAAAACACATGCTTCTTGGAAATATTTTATCAAAATGTAGGCTAATAACTCACTTTATGAAGACATTACACTGATTTTAACAGACAGTTATTTATGCCACTGTTTGGAAGAGCCCCTTTTTCCATTTTTAATTTGTTTAATTTTTTTATTTTTATTTTTGCTGCCTACACCTCAAAAGTCTGCAGACTAGGTTTTGAGACAGTCATTAAATACACATTAAGAAAACACTGGAGTGTGACAGTAAGGATGCACACTATCACTCATTACAAAGTGCCTGGTAATGGCACATGCATTTGATATATAGTATAGGTTCAGCTAATACTGAATTAGTAGTTGAATTTCCTGACTGGATCCCCTTAGTTTGTACGCATATGCAGTGGTTACACAATAATCCAGCTTGCAATGGAATCAATGTTACACTACACATGATTTTATAGATATCCCACTCTGCAGAAAGGATTTCAGGAGATGAAATAGATACACAAACAACCCCCTTTAGTGTAGTGTGACGAAATAATAGGAAATCTGAACGCAAGCGGTCACAGGAGACAAATTTGAAATGCATGATGATACCAGGTAAAACCACTAATGTGTCTTGGCTGAAAATTTGTTATCAGATCACCAAAAACACATCTTGAAACCAGGTAGAAACAGGGATTCTCTCTCACACGCTCGATTTCCAGGATATTGCATACAATATGTGGGAGACTCCTGGAATTTCTGGGAGAGGTGGGATGTCTGTTACCCTCAGATCAAATATGGCACATTATCAGGAGACACATGAGATCCAGTGACATTTGATGTCCTTGTCTAGGCTACAGAGGCTAACTGATCTCTTAAAGGCACAATATGTAATTTTTTATGAGCTTATCTTATGCCACAGTCGAGCGCTTCCGCTCCTTCCGGTCGTGCGTATGTGGGGTAAAGCAGCGGAGCTTTTATTATGCCACAGTCGAGCGCTTCCGCTCCTTCCGGTCGTGAGTATGTGGGGTAAAGCAGCGGAGCTTTTATTATGCCACAGTTGAGCGCTTCCGCTGCTTCCGGTCGTCGGCAGGCGACACAATGACACTATGGACACGGTCCGTGTCACTAGTTAAAATTGCTTATTTCTCTGGAGTTAAACATTCTTCGAAACATTTGGGATAATGCAAGCACACAAGTCAGCAAAATATATAACACTGTTCTAGTGGTTTTTGGATATTTGAATAAAACAATCTTACATATGATGCCTTTAAGTGGTAGGCAAGATTAACAAAATCACACAGCTTCAGAGTGCTTTACAGGAGTCTTTCATTGATCTTTTGACGTATAACAGGTTAATGTACTATAAAAAAAAACATCCTGTAAGATTCAGAACTCAACACTTTCTGGTGAGTTTTTATTGATACCAAGCTTATGACGTCATAGTGCGACGAAAGACCGCCTCTGCTGAAGAAGATCAACGCCTACTTCTACAGCGCTGCCTATTTAGCCCCGCCCACTGATTCACGCATCACAGCAGCGTCATCGTATATGCAAAACTGCTAGCCAATCAGAGCACTGGGCATTTACTTCCAAGTCTTGAAGGTACCCTTCCTGTCACGGTGCGTGCGGGGAGATGAAGTGAGGACTCAATTGCAGGAGAAATGGTTATTTATTTTAATAATAAAAATGAAACAAAAAACAAACTCAAACCACCCCGAGGGGGAAAAACAGACAGGCAGATCTAAAGCTGCACACATGCAGACACGAAACACACACAATGAGAAATGACGGATCAGCACAGGATGACAGACACAAGGAGAATAAATAGGAACCAAACGAGGAGGCTAACGAGGGAGACACAGGTGGAGCAACTTAAACAATGACGAGGTAACAAGATGGGAGGGGCCAGACAATAGACAGGAGAGAGCACATGGCAACAGACAAACACAACACAAGCCATGTGCTCCCAGAACACAGTCATCTGGTGGCCCTCCTGGGCACACCCGCTGAAGACTGTGACACTTCCTATAAAAACAAAGGGTCAAAAACAAGGATAAAAAATAGCCTTATTACTTCTAAATGATGATGTTATGTAAAAACTTTATAAGTGGACCTCAGAGAACATTAGGCTATATAAAATAATAATAATAGTAATAAAAAATGCGGTTCATGACCCCTTTAAAATTTTGTTTTTAAAAGATTTGTTTTTTTTCTTTTGGCATCTTACAAACGTCCCCATTCATTGAATACATGGGAAACAGACGCTGGGTCTCAGCTAACGGGGAATGTGCTCATAACCTTCTGGCAAATGTTTCTCAAAGCTAAGAACAAACGTTCTTTTAAAATGTTCGCTCAAAGTCATATGGTCTTTAATAAAGTTATCAAAATGTTAGCACACAATCATTAATTATACACTGTTCATTGAATTTTTTTTTTTTCCGGAAACATTTTAGTTGCTTTTTAGATGCTTTTCAAACTTCAAACTTTTCAAAAGTGTTTGCAAAATGGTACAATTTTATTTTCTAACATTAACATTAACATAACATAAAAAAAACACGTTTATTATTATTATTATTATTATTATTATTATTATTATTAATTTTTTTTTTTTCCGGAAACATTTTAGTTGCTTTTTAGATGCTTTTCAAACTTCAAACTTTTCAAAAGTGTTTGCAAAATGGTACAATTTTATTTTCTAACATTAACATTAACATAACATAAAAAAACACGTTTATTATTATTATTATTATTATTATTATTATTAACTGTACGGTTTGCCTTTAACATAATGAAAATTTTATGAGAAAAGTAGTATCTTTTTTGGAATGGGAGGTTTGGAGCCACTTTAAGTGTGTAGCTATAAATGATAATAAAGGCATAAAGGCTAACAACGAAGCAAATTGAGAAAAAAATCCATCACGAAACTACAATTTCATCAGTCTGGAAGCACACCCCTAAATGGGCGATTTACAGCTCAAAAACACACTTTGGTACTGTGAAATTAGCTAATAAGCGCTTTAACAATAATACGAGGAACGAGCCGAAATGTTCGAGCGCATCCGAGCCGGCTCAACTATAGCCAGAGTGCATGGAGGAATTCTCCAGGGTGCTGAAGTAGGCTACACTACCGAGGGATCAGCCACACCCGCTTCAGCTTATTGGGCATCTTTCCGTGGAACGTCACATGCAAAAGAGCCACACGCACGTTTATGCCGATGAATTAGAGATTAAAGGGAGGCAGAACATGCAGATTGGGTCCCACACACAGACACAGACTGCCCTCGCCTCATCCACCGATGACTGAGGAGATGCGTCCTGACGAGCCCTGCTGAAGAGCTCCAGCGTTCATCTGCGTTTGACAGCGTTCACTCACTGACAGCACGGCGAGCACAGCACGATGCTGGGGTTCTGTAGAGCTGGGACAGCGCTGGCTCTCATCCTGCTCGATGCTCTGGTGCTCATAGCTGCAGCGCACGAGGAGCTCATCTTTAGCGATCATTTTCTGGTCCAGCTGCACGAGGGGACGAACGAAGATGCTCATCAACTTGCCCTGGAGCACGGCTTCGGGAGCGCAAGGAAGGCAAGTGGCAGTATGCACAGCAGAACGCCTCCGAAACGGCCGCTTTGATGCATGCATGTTGGTTTTTAGACATTTATAATTATGCAATCACATATAGCTGTCAATCATGAAAATCTGAGTACAAGATGTTCTCTTGTGGACAACACAAACAAAGCAACTGGAACGAAGTGCTGCGTCCATGCAGCAGAATGCAAGCTCAGAAGTTGAAAGGCTGCTGTTATGTTACAGTGCATCAATTTAAAAGCCATGCCTAATTTATTGTTTTTTTAATGGTCATATGGATCTTAAAGGAAAGTGTACAGGATTCCTACTGCCAAATCCTTCAGGGATGAATAAGAGCACTTACAAATAAAATCCTTATTATAATAATAATAATAATAAATGTGAAAACAGGAGTGCCAGTTTATCCAGTGGGATTTTTGTACGTTTTGATCTCATAAGAATACATTCCAAATGCATGATTTCAATAAAAAACCCCATTGCTGTAAGATCACTGGACTAGTGTGGAACTAGAGATTGGATATATACGGATATTCGGGTAATTATGAAAACAGTAGGCTATTATTATTAGGATGTGCATGTTTAAAAGTCAACACAAATGAATCACAGTTTCTTGTTTGGAGTACAATAGAAATATAAAAACAAGACTTTAACCCCTCGGAAACTGCAGAAAATAGCATACTATCATTCTTTTCGGTTGCATAAGTGTTATGAGCAGTGAGACAATGACTGAGAGTAAATAGTAAACATGTCTTTCATCTGACATCGCAGTGTTTTTTTTATTCCAGCTCATGCAGGGCCGTTTATCACCGAACAGAGGACTTGATTAGCCTGACAAATCAGCCTTGTCAAATGTCAAAGCATGTCTGCTGCAGCTCTCACTGGAGCGGAACAGAGCTTAGGAATAACACCTGACCCATTATCATGTGTATGGCTTATTGCATGTTTTCGAGAGGGATTTTGTCCTCGTTCACACCCCGCTCTGTCTGAGCCAGTATATGCTCCCCTTGAATTGTGTAATGCTCTGCTTTCTTTGCTCAATTAAGACGCACCTTAATAAACACTGAGCTCTGTTAGCTGAACTGGACAGTCTGCAGCTTTTCGCTCTCACGTTATTTGACTTCAATTCCTCAAATCACAATTCACTGTCCACAAATCAGCCTTGTCAAATGTCAAAGCATGTCTGCTGCAGCTCTCACGGGAGCGGAACAGAGCTTAGGAATAACACCTGACCCATTATCATGTGTATGGCTTATTGCATGTTTTCGAGAGGGATTTTGTCCTCGTTCACACCCCGCTCTGTCTGAGCCAGTATATGCTCCCCTTGAATTGTGTAATGCTCTGCTTTCTTTGCTCAATTAAGACGCACCTTAAGAAACACTGAGCTCTGTTAGCTGAACTGGACAGTCTGCAGCTTTTCGCTCTCACGTTATTTGACTTCAATTCCTCAAATCACAATTCACTGTCAGTGCCTTTTATTCAGGGATTCTTCGTTTCTTTGCCATGGCAAGTCTCATAGAACAGGATTTTAATTTACAGTGACAGCCTGGTGGTGAAATGACTTTGTCCTCCTGAAGTAGAGAACGGTTAGGAATCAAAAATAAAAAATGATATAAAATGAATTACACCAAAAGGTAAATTTAAAGTGCTAATACTTTATAGAAGCTACAATTATAGTTTAATCTACAGCAAGACAGCAGAGTTAAAATGAAAAATACAATTTATATATATAGTTTATATGTGATGGTTTCAGTCATTCAGAGCTGATTTTACATTCAGATGTTAAGTGGATGATTTGATTTGTGGCCGAGCGACATTTCGGCATGTTCTGCACTCAAACTGCACTATTTCTACTTCAATATTTCAACTGTAATGAATATAGTGTAGTACATGGGTCATTCCTAGTATTCGGTGCCATTTGAGTCCCCATGACATAATGTGATATATTTTGCGTAAAAATGGGTTAATACTTGTTTCTGAATGCTAATCTTACAAAGTTACTGCCCCTCTACAATCAAACACAATAAACATGTGCTTAAAAATTAATTAATAAAAAATAATTACTCTTATTTCAGTGCAATAAGGCAAAAATGCCATGTCATAACTTCAGCCACAAATATAAGTAATAAAAATCAAACAAATTCCATTTTTTTTCTCAATATTGTTGTATATTCTTAATTATAATATTCCTCAACAAAATATATTTTTTGTTATTTATACATTTTTAGTGCTTAAAGTCTTTAAAAGATGTCGTGTCCCTGAATTGAATGTCCCCCCTGTTACTCTGATGAAAAGTCCCTCTGAACACGGCCCTTGAATGTTTCTCTAATAACACGATTCTCAGGAAGTATAACACTTTTAGGTGGCAAACTATCTACAAGAAGCAGAGTAATTAACTATCTTTAATTCACCCTTTTTTCAGTGTTTTATAATGATTCGCTGATGTGGTAAAGCATAACATGTCCACTCTGTTATGCTTATTTCTAATGGAAACTGATAACTTTTTGTAATTTTGGAAATATGGTTAATAAGCAGGTTAAAAATCTTCCTCTGTGATCACTACGCACTAGCTTGTTGTTTATTACATGAGTAGCAATAGCTGTCCCTCCTGTTACTGTTTTACACTGTAACAGGGTGGACATAATGTAACATTTGAAGTAAAAATTACATAAATAAGTGTTTAAAGCATGTATTGGTACTTATAATAAATTTATTATGCATTTAAAAGAAAGAGTTGCTTAAATAGTATGCATGTAATTGTCAGGAAATGGCGCTGTTGTCTGCTGAAGAAAAGCAGCGACGCTACAGGGCTCGTTGTGATGCACACCCTAAAGGAAGGCAAATATACCTCAATAAAAAGAACGGGAGGTGGAGAAAGGACATAAAGGAAGGAAGAAAAAAAAGAGTGTTAGAACTCAGCTTTGTTGATTAAGTAGAAACTGTAATAAATTATCTTGACTTTGCCATTGCAATGTGTGTGTGTCTCTGTGGTGTGTGTTCGTGTCTACGTGCTGTGTGTGTGTGTGTACTGGCATTCCCTGCATTATGGGGTCCAAATGTCCCCACAGGTATAGTAATAACAGTAAACTTTCATCTTGTGGGGACATTTATTTGGTTCCCATGAGGAAAACAGCTCATACTCTAAGTCATACAGAATGAAGTGTTCATTCTGTATGAAACCAAAACTAACTGTAGGTTTGTGTGAGGGGTAGGTTTAGGTGTAGTGTTAGGGTAAGGCTATAGAAAATACAATTTGTACAGCAGAAAAACCATTACGGCTATGGCATGAGCCCATAACGATAGGAATTTTAGTGTGTGCGTGTGTGTGTGTGAGAGAGAGAGAGAGCAAAATAATATGTTCTCTAAAACTATAAACTTTCAATAGTAAAATACAATGATAAACCTATTTTGTAGCCTAATAAATGGACAGCATAACAAATGAGATTGTGTAATAGGCCTTATATCCTATACATTTTATATACAGAACAATCTATCTGTTGTAGTGATTGTAAATTGTGACAATATGCAACATGTTGAAATATACTGTTGTTTAGTGGTGTGATGTCCACCCTGTTATGTCCTGTCCCTCTGTCCACCCTGTTACCTCAGTGTTTTTTGATATTACTAAAATAAGTTCAACAAATGCTATGCATATATTTGTGGGTACTTGTAGGGAATGAAATGGTCAAATGAAAAGTTAAAATGGTTCCAAAATTCCATTTAAATGTATTTTTATTCTAAAAGAAATGTGTTAAAATTAAGCTGTGTCTCAAAAATACAACAACTTTTTTCAAGATAATGCCCAATTATGAACACTTTGTTAAAATACATTTGCAGAGTAAAGAGAGAGGGACATTTTAGCTCTTAGAAAATGTAAATATTACAATAACTGTGCATTCAAAACACTTGTTAATTGAGATGAGTATTTCCTGTAACAGGGTGGACATTTGGTCCTTGCACGTCTGAGGAATTCCATGAAAAATTATTAAAGAATAATATCCTGAGCTGGACCAACATATTTTTCTTATAGTGTAACAAGCCCTTCTTCAGATAAAATGATTACATCATGGAAATTAAAAAACTAATTTATGGAAAGTTACCAAGCTGAAATGGCACCGAATAGAAACAATATCTGCTCGCTTAATCTTGGAATTTATTAACTTCAGAAATATGAATTGATGTTTTCAAAGTTTGAATACCATGTATTATATTTAGTTGGTGTCAGACTAGGTTTTGTAGATATAATATGAATAATATTCAAACAGTGTCAGTTGATCATATAATACACATCAAAATGATCATCTCTGGGGGGTATTAGTAGCTAATTTTGACCCACAAATACTTAGATTTAATCTTATATTACACTGTAAAAAATGTGTTGTGCTATCTACTTAAAAAAATTACGATAACAATATTACACATAATACTCACCAAAAACATAAAATAGCACTTAATTTCAATATTTACTCTCCATATCCAGCCATATGCAATGCATGCTGGGAACTAACAATCACTGCCAAAATAAAACTGCATAATTGAGCTATTTCTCTTAAAATGAACAGGTAGTTTGATCAGGTTCTCAATTCAAGCCTCAAAATTTCCTTCAAAAATTAGGAAAACATATCTCTTGGTTTTATTAATGAAATATTTTCTATGCAACACTGAAACACAATGTCTTTAATAAAATATACACAGTATCTTTTTAAATGAAAATTACAAGACCCATGATTCAGTTTTTACAGTGTACACTTGAATATTTGCATGCACAAGCAATTTCAGGCACATTTCACAACATTTTCATGCTGAGGAGTGTTTTAGTGCATTAAAGAGTTAGGGTTAAGTTTATGAATTCACAGCGGGATGAAATATTGACATATAGCCAGACACTCAGCCTTTTTTGACCTTCAAAAACATTATCAGTCATACTTGGGGAAAACATGCATCTGTTGGGTTTCCATAAGCATATTCCACACTTCTTAAGAGGCCAAACTCTCTGCTCTCAGCTCTTCTAATACAGGTGTGTTTAATTGCAGCTTCCTTTTGGCGAGGGACTATTTCATTTCTACCCGCGGGAAATCCCTAAAACCAGGAGGAAACGCAGCCTGCAGCAGCACCGGCGCCTGGCGAAGGATCACCGGGTAAGACCAGAACCCCACCGTGTGTTTGTTCCCATAGAAACTAGCCCAGGCGCATCTGATGCCAGAGCCGCTGCTTGTAAGTGTTCAAGGCTAACGTGTCAATCACACGATCACTCTGTTCTGGCTCGTACCTTGGCTTGATGGTATTTTGAGTGGATTATCTTGAGTGGTATTTTATCAAGTGTTATGACACTATGCAGTTTGAATGAGGTTACATTATTATTTATGACAATCTCACATACAGCATGGCCTCTTTTACATTATTAAATGCACAGCATAAGATTTGCATAATGTATGTATTCACATCAGTGTTAATTTCGTTGACGAATAATTTTCATCAACAACATTTTTTTCACTGACGACAACGAGACGATAACGAACTAAAACTCTTTTTGAATGACAAAAACTATGACGTAAATCTATTGACATTTTCGTCAATGAATAAAAACGAGACGAAAATGTTAGCGAGGGACGATTTGGGAAGAGATTCATTCAGAACGAATCTGCTGCGTGGTTCGGTACATATGAACCGGCAGGACATGAGCTAACATACACTTGCTGCACGTCGCATAAAACGTTTAAAAAATGTCAATATGTGGGAGTATGAGAAGAGCAGACATATAGATAAATCGCAAGACGCAAGAGAGAACTCATTTCGGTCCGGTTTTCTGAGCGCAGACACTGAAGCATAACGTTACACACACAGAAAGCGCCTCTCACAGCGTGCGAGTACTCTTTCGCGTCGCATGAACGGAGAATTACACACAAAATGATGTTGAATTGTCCGTTTTGATGAGTATTCACGAAAACACAGTTGATTACGTCTTAAGTGAACGTAAACAGCAGGGAGAACGTGTATCAGTACATTGCATCCATTGCAGCCGTGCATTCGGTTTTAAAGGGACAGCAGCCTAATTTAGTTGCTATTGTATTTATAGAAATAAATTTGTCTGCTTGAAAGAATGAAGAATATGGTAAACAAGTTGCTATAAAGAATGCATAATTAGCCTGTATAACCATTAGTATTTCATTAAAAAGAAGACCACGTTCTTGTTCTGTATGAGAAGTGGTTTTATTTCATTTTAACATAAAGGCATGTTGTGTGTCACCGCAGTTAAATCGGTGTCTATTATGATAAAACCTTAATATCAAACCTATATAATGAGTGGAAATTTTTGAAAAATGCTTAATGCACTGTAACTTAAACCCATTAGATTTTAGCCGACTAAATTTACTGTAGATTTAGTCGACTAAAATCGTATGCTATTTAGTCGACTAAAACTAGACTAAAACTAAAAACAATTCAGATGACTAAAATATGACTAAAACTAAATGGCATTTTAGTCAAAAGACTATGACTAAAACTAAATCAAAATTTGCTGTCAAAATGAACACTGATTCACATCAGAAAAGATGAATAGAACTCAAAAAAGTTGATCAAAATTTTTCATTTTGGGACATAAAGTCGGGCCCCGCATATTCTGACTAACAGCTGCCATCTCTGACAGGAGGAGATGTGTTTGCTTTGTTTTTATGTTATGATGTGAACAAGCTGAAAAAAAAAATGTGTGTAGACTCCATCCAATAAGTGCTGGTTATTTCACAGACACAAAACGTGAAATATACAGCTGTGCTCCTGGAAGTCACCCGCTACACTTAAACACAGTTTTGGTTTCCAATCTGTCTGGAGCTCAGACTACTTGTTCGTAAAAATAAACAAACCATAGATGGATTTTTGGGACAGAAAATGGGAAGATTTCAGTCTGTAAGATTTAAGCCTATAATCAACCTCCATAATCCTGTGAGTGGCGACAGCAGCGATTTGCACTCGCATGATAACGAAACAGCTATTAATGTTCAATTGTGGTCTTCAGTCGGGCTTGAAGAGCTGAATTATTTATTAGTCCGTTCATCAGGGCCGAGTGTGTTAACTCATCCAGTGGCACAAAATGTTTCCAAACCATCAAAGCACTCTTTCATCGACATATTGAGCATCATTTGCACAGATCTTCAAAACATCAGGATGCATTAAATTAAGTTGTGAAGGCCACTCTGGCTAGTTGACTGATTCACATAAACATAGTCATTTTAAAAGAAGTCTGTCAGAGGGCCCAATGCACAGTGTTAATATGAAGGAATTTTCCGTATTGTGTTTTACCTGTATTATGAATTCATGCGTTGCATTATGTTGTGCTTTAGAATGAAAGGAAATATCTGTAAACTTAACAGATTGAAAATGACCGGAACCTTTTCTTCTTACAATATGCATAATCTGACAGGTTGAATGAGGGAAAAAAGGCATTATCAGGAATTTGTGGATGAAATCAAGCACCGCCTCCAGCCACCTGACTAAAGCCCACTCTTCAATATCTGCTCATTTCCTGGCCCTGCATTATCATCTCCCAAAATACATCACATGACAGGAGCGAAATGTCATAAAATCAGTGTTCAACAAGAAAGAAAATGTTCTCCAATAACTAATGCCTCTGAAATAATACATGCATTCACTCAAATGTAAAAAATCACATTATTGTACGGGTGATGTCTGATAACTTCCCCGATCGGAGTTTGGATTCAATTAAAGGCTGTTCCAGCGACCAGGGTAATAAATTCAGAAGTGACAGACCTATCACATTCAATCCATTCATCATCTTGACAAACGACAAGCGCGTCTAATTAACAGACTGTGATGTGCTTTAGCTCGGCGGTTCTCATTGACGGCCTAAAACCTTAAAATGGACATCAGGTCATGAACAACAGCAAAAAACCATTGCAAATGCAAATAATAGTAAAGTATGACTCACTGTGTGTTCTTTCAAACACAACAATTTGACTCAAAAAAGACAGACTCGTGTACTCATCTGTACTTAGCCTTGAACAAAACCACAGAAAGTACAGGAAAAGATGACCTAAACTATATTCAGTACAGGTTCAAATACAAAGGGAAAAACACTTGTGTAGGTTTGTGCGTGGAATGCGATTTGCGTTGAATGAAAGAGATGTTTAGAACGCGAACTGGACCACTTTGTTGCGTAAATTTTTGGGCCTATATGCATTTCAGTGTGAAATAATTAAGTTCCAGTGTTTGACTTTAAGGACATTTTTGTGTTTCAATGTTGGTTGTCCAGTAAGCAAATCTGAATCCTGGAGAAGTAGAAGCAGTGCTTCAGCCGTCAACAGCTTCAGACGCTCGTTCATGTTCACGCAAACAGCCTTCGGTTTGAGCCTGGAAGGCCCTTCAGAATCAGTGCTTACGGATGAAGGGGAGGTTTCTGCATCGCCACAATCATCTCAGCTCAAGTGTTGTCACAGTATCGATCGGTTTCTTGTTTTTGTGCTCTGCTCATTCACACGCTCCTCTCTGGCCGTTTACACTGAGACTCTGCTAATGTTTGCTTTGCTCTTCATTTGGACAGTCTCTCCCCTTGTCTCGTTCAGATGCTGCATAACGGCGTTCTTCATTATGCTGATGAATGTCTCCCTGAAGTCAACGTGACTGTCCACGATCTGTTTTACTGCCGTATTTCTGAATCAAGTTATTAAATGTATCGAAGGACTATGCAAATGATGCACTACTGAACTGTGCACAATAAGAGCAGAAATGTGTGTCGAGGGTCATTTTTAATGCCATAACATTTTCTTCAATCTCATTCAGAGGTAAGCCATTGGCTCTTCACTTTGCTCGGGGTTTTGGTTTAATACACCTGTACTTCACCTTTAAAGGCACTTTACATAACACTTAAATCAATTTTGAGAACTTTATGGACAACATTATGGAAGACTTTTATGCACTTACTGTTGCTATCTTGGAAACGCTTGTATTCCCTTTACGCAATGTAAATCTGGTACTTAATTTCTTCAACTTTTATTATAAACCACATAAAAAAATACTATAGTAATTTATAGTAAATACTATAGTGTTTTTGAACCATACTATAGTAAAGTGTATTATACTGTATACTGTATATTATAGTATTTGCAACACTTTGTTAAAGAATGCTACAGCATACTGTAGTATTAACTATAGTGAACTGATAAACTGTAATAAATACAGTAGTACACTTTAGTTTTTACTACAGTAAACGGTAGTGTATTGTAGTACAATATACCCTATAGTTGTATTTACTATAAATTACTATAGTATTTTTTCATGTGGGTATTCACGGATGGTGAAACACAATGCGACTGATTGCAAAACTGCTAAATGAAAGGCAATGTGTCCTTCAGTACTGATATACGGTAGTGTAGAAATGGTTCTGCAAATGATGTGAATCTTTACAATAGACATAACCGACCCATAAACCCATGAAGCCAATTTAATCCAGAGAACAGCACCTGTACCTGTCACTTTCCCTCCTTTCAGCTCAAATTCGTACAACTCAATTATCATGTCCTTGAACCCAGTGGCTGGCAGAGCTGGATTTCCCTCTTTTGCAGAAAGAAGCACATGCTCTGATTCAGATAGACGTTTGCACAATGACCAGAATCTCATATCACATGTGAGTCCTTTTTTATCACAGTAATACTGTATATATCATGATATATACTGTATTTCTCCCATAGATTGAACAAAAAAACGTTTTATACCAGGGTTATTAAAAACTAAAAAGCTAAAACCATTAAGAGGACGCAGTGTCTCGTTCCCTACTCAGGGAACCATGGTTACATAAGTAACCCGAGACGTTTTGTTACTTACAATAAATGTTAGCTGAAATCAAATATAAAAGACTTATTTATTTCAGCTAGTTTCCAAGGCAACATTTCTCATTTTTATTTAATTTATCTTGATGTGCTAAAATGTTAGGTTTTACAATCTTTCACAGTAAAAAAAACTTACTTCATTAACTAATATAATGTTAATATAACAACCTGTTAAAGTACTAATATCTGTTTTATACACTGAAAACCATTAAAATCAGGTGGGAATGAGAAAGTCTGATGAATCAAAGCTCATCACAAACAGCTCTTCTTGCTGAGAAAGTAAACACTAATATATAGAA